TTTTATCCTTTGTCCTTTTTGTCCTTTTTCTCTCCTCTTTGTCCTTTTCGTTGTTGTTATCCTTTTTAACTTTTTTATCCCTTTTTGTCCTGTTTATGCTTTTTGTCTTTTTATCCTTTTTAACCTTTTCGTTCTTTTTGTCCTTTTTAACCTTTTCGTCCTTTTTTTCTTTTTATCTTTCTTATTCCTTTTCGTCCTTTCCGTTCTTTTTATCCTTTTCGTCCTTTTCGTACTTTTTGTCCTTCTTTCCTTCTTGTCCTTTTTGTCATTTTTATCCTTTTTAACCTTTTTGTCCTTTTCGTCCTTGTTATCCTTTTTATCTTTTTTATCCCTTTCGTCCTTTTTATCCATTTTATCTTTTTTATCTCTTTTCGTCTTTTTTATTCTTTTCGTCCATTTCGTCCTTTTTATTCTATTTATTTTTTTTCCCTTTTCGTCCTCTTCGTCTTTTTCGTCATTTCGTCCTTTTCGTCCTTTTTATCCTTTTATCCTTTTTATTCTTTTTAACCTTTTTGTCCTTTTCGTCCTTTTTACCCTTTCTATCCTTTTCGTCCTTCTCGTACTTTTCGTCCTTTTTACCTTTTCTATCCTTTTCGTCCTTCTCGTACTTTTACTCCTATTTTGTCCTTTTTATCTTTTTGTCTTTTTTAGCCCTTTTCGTCCATTTTATCCTTTTCTTCCTTTTCGTAGTTTTTGTCCTTCTTGTCATTTTTATCCTTTTTAACCTTTTCGTCCTTATCGTCCTTGTTATCCTTTTTAACCTTTTCGTTCTTATCGTCCTTGTTATCCTTTTTATCTTTTTTATCTCTTTTCGCCCTTTTTGTCCTTATTAACCTTTTTATCTTTTTTATCCCTTCTCGTACTTTTACTCCTATTTTGTCCTTTTTATCTTTTTATCTTTTTTAGCCCTTTTCATCCTTTTCGTCCATTTTATCCTTTTCTTCCTTTTCGTAGTTTTTGTCCTTCTTGTCATTTTTATCCTTTTTAACCTTTTCGTCCTTATCGTCCTTGTTATCCTTTTTATCTTTTTTATCTATTTTCGGCCGTTTTGTCCTTATTAACTTTTTTATCTTTTTTATCCCTTTTCGTCCTTGTTATCCATTTTATCTTTTTTATCCCTTTTCGTCTTTTTTATCCTTTTCGTCCTTTTCGTCCATTTCGTCCATTTCGTCCTTTTTATCCTATTTATCTTTTTTTTCCCTTTTCGTCCTCTTCGTCTTTTTCGTCATTTCGTCCTTTTTTATCCTTTTATCCTTTTTATTCTTTTTAACCTTTTTGTCCTTTTCGTCCTTTTTACCCTTTCTATCCTTTTCGTCCTTCTCGTACTTTTACTCCTATTTTGTCCTTTTTATCTTTTTGTCTTTTTTAGCCCTTTTCGTCCATTTTATCCTTTTCTTCCTTTTCGTAGTTTTTGTCCTTCTTGTCATTTTTATCCTTTTTAACCTTTTTAACCTTTTCGTCCTTATCGTCCTTGTTATCCTTTTTAACCTTTTCGTTCTTATCGTCCTTGTTATCCTTTTTATCTTTTTTATCTCTTTTCGCCCTTTTTGTCCTTATTAACCTTTTTATCTTTTTTATCCCTTCTCGTACTTTTACTCCTATTTTGTCCTTTTTATCTTTTTATCTTTTTTAGCCCTTTTCATCCTTTTCGTCCATTTTATCCTTTTCTTCCTTTTCGTAGTTTTTTTCCTTCTTGTCATTTTTATCCTTTTTAACCTTTTCGTCCTTATCGTTCTTGTTATCCTTTTTTTCTTTTTTATCTCTTTTCACCCTTTTTGTCCTTATTAACCTTTTTATCTTTTTTATCCCTTTTCGTCCTTTTCGTCTTTTTCGTCCTTTTCGTCCTTTTTGTCCTTTTTATCCTTTTTGTCCTTTTTGCCCTTTTTATCCTTTTTATCCCTTTTCATCTTTTTCGTCATTTCGTCCTTTTCGTCCTTTTTATTCTTCCTACCCTTTTTGTCTTTTTTGTGTCTTTTTTGTGTCCTTTTTGTCCTTTTTATCCGTTTTAACCTTTTCGTCCTTTTTACCCTTTCTATCCTTTTCGTCCATTTCGTCATTTTTATCCTTTTTATCTTTTTATCCCTTTTCGTCCATTTCGTCCTTTTTATCCTTTTTATCTGTTTTATCCCTTTCCATCCTTTTCGTCCTTTTCGTCTTTTTTATCCTTTTTATCCTCCTTATCCGTTTTATCCTTTTTGTCCTTTTTGCCCTTGTTGTCATTTTTGTCTTCTTGATCCTTCTTATCCGTTTTATTCTTTTTATCCTTGACCGACTGAATGACTGACTGACTGACTGGATTTGTATTTTTATCACGCTTTTATTAGCTTGGGTTGTATGTAACGGAATCTTTGAGCTTAATTTTCATCGGTTTCTAAAAGTCTGATCATCTTGAAACTTTGCACACGTCTCAAGGATCGATGACAATGCAATAATTTGATAACAGTTTCCCATTATCCTTATTAGGAGCGCCAGGATTTATAAATTCTTTTATGGATCCTGTGTAGTGGAGTAAAAGAGATAAAGCTAGCGCGCGATCTGCGCATGCCTGTAGTATCTGGTTTACTCTTCGTTGTAATAATTATAGTCTTGATTAAAATACAAATAACGGATATTAAATGAAAAAAACAAGAACGGACGTTTAATTAACTAAACGTGTGCAAAAATGGGTGATCGCATCTTAATTGTGTCAGTATATACCACGGTTATCTCTCTCCGTGTCGATTATACCGATCTATACCGATTATTTCTGTTTCAAGGACAATTTCTGCATAGCTTTGGTTTTACAGTCGGTAAAGAAGGAATTAATTATAATTAAAACATATCTAATCCTTAGATCATATAATAAATAGATACCAATACTCAAACTGAAAGCTGTGACTAGATATGAAGCTATCTGTTGTCGTTTTCTACGTCAAGAGGAGTAGTATAATGCTATCCTTGTGTGATCACCACATCTTCATCTTTGTTATATGCATTTCATCTGTATATGTCTATTTCACTTCCATCCTTGTACCGCACCAGCGCAACAAATCGCTTTTGACAGATGTTTCTTCTAACCTCTCTTTCGAGTTGTTGTACAAAAAACAATTTTAGAATTTAGAACAAAGATCCTATTTTAAGTGATGTAATCATAAAGGATCACAATTGCTGCCCAATAATTTACCATTCCTTTCATTATCTACTGTGAATTATTTATAAAATCAAGCTGTCAACATCTTTCGTACGAAGGTAGTTCAGACATACTTCCTAAAATTTAGGCGGCCAAAATTCAAATAGTGATCAGGCAAGGATAGCTTCATTGTAATCCCTCCATGCACGAGAGAGATGTGTGACAGGAGGATGTCGTCACAGGCTCTGCTAGGGAAAGAACACGGCATGGTGGTATCTATTTATTATATGATCTAAGATCTAATCATGAATTCTCACCAACTTAAATAAAGATAACAAATTTTGATTCAGAAATACAAACATGGAGGAAAATTAACTATCGATCATACGGAGACCACTGAGTGGTTCTTCTAGAAAAATCTAAATAAGTAATTAATTCCCCAATTTATGAATTTGTCGCAGACTAAAAAATGAAAAATAAATAATAGTTTAAAAAACTAAAAAAACACGCTTTTATTGCTAATCGAACTAAAAACTAGAAAATAATTTTTAATGACAGAGTTTAATATTACAGTAGTAGAAGATCAAACAATCAATCATAATAAATCACCTCAAATTAAAATTATAATAAAATTTATAAGTTATTAACAGAATAATTCAATTCAGAGTAAAAAGCGTGGGGTGCTTGATATTTTAAATATTACAATCATTCTATTGGCAACTATCTATGAGAGGATAGTTATGAACCGCAGTAAAATGCACCCCACGCTTTTTACTCTGAATTGAATTATTCTGTTAATAACTTAAATTTTATTATAATTTTAATTTGAGGTGATTTATTATGATTGATTGTTTGATCTTCTACTACTGTAATATTAAACTCTGTCATTAAAAATTATTTTCTAGTTTTTAGTTCGATTAGCAATAAAAGCGTGTTTTTTTAGTTTTTTAAACTATTATTTATTGTCCTTTTTGTCCTTTTCGTCTTTCGTCATTTCGTCCTTTTTATCCTTTTGTCCTTTTTATTCTTTTTACCCTTTTCGTCCTTTTTACCCTTTCTATCCTTTTCGTCCATTTCGTCCTTTTTATCCCTTTTATCTTTTTATCCCTTTTATCTTTTTATCCCTTTTCGTCCATTTCGTCCTTGTTATCCTTTTTATCTGTTTTATCCCTTTCCATCCTTTTCGTCTTTTTTATCCTTCTTATCCGTTTTATCCTTTTTGTCCTTGTTGTCCTTTTTGTCATTTTTGTCCTTTTGATCTTTTTCATCCTTGACCGACTGAATGACTGACTGACAGACTGTCTCAACAGACTGACTGACTGACTGAATGAATGAACGACTGATTGACTAACTGACTGACTGAAGAGACTGACTGACTGACTGACTGACTGACTGACTAACTGCATTTGTATTTTTTAATAAAATGATGATTAATGATGATGACTGGGTTAATTAAAGTAAATATCCATGTGTTGTCAACTGTTGTTTATTATAAAATATACTTTTTTTATTTATTTATCATACAGAAATATCTAATTATTATAATAATATTATATAAAAATATAGCGCGGCGTTACATGCCTATGTTCAGGCTCAGTTCAGACCGGTCTCGGTGTCGGTGTCGGTGTCGAACTCGACATCCTATTCCGGCGCGCATCGTATACATCTTCTATAATACGAAAAAAAGGAGCTAAAACTCCAATAAAACTTCAAAATATAACAAAACTAGACCGGGAAAATAATTTTTTTAGATATTCACCGACATGGAGTTTTATCATAAAAACCTCGGTAAAAACAAACGTTCCCCATTCTGAACAGTTTTCGATGGCCCACGAGCCGCCACTGCTAACAAACCAACCAGAAAACACTTGACAGTAGGTCGAAAAAACAACAATTTTTTTAAGGTTATGTTGTTTCGTGCTAGGTTAGGAACAGTTGCCATTCAGGGCGTGTAAAATCCGCGTTATTTTATCCAAATTCAGTATTCATGTTCGACACAAAATGGGCAAACAGTGGTGCTACTTTCTTTTCATGTTGTGGTTTACGTACTTAATAGTGTCTTCAATTTTGCTTTTTTCACGAGGATTTTTACTCTCAAAGAACGCCCAAAAAAGCAACAGCACCTGCATTTCATTACCGGAAATACCCTGTTTACAGAAACAATCAACCCCGTTAAGTGAAGACGAAAACAACTGCAGCGACAACTCCAAACTAGCATACGTATTCGAAAACATTAATAGCGCTTCTAGTATTTGTTTACCCCAAAGATCTCGTGTAATTCTAGTCATAATAGACGCTTTGCGGTACGATTTTGCGGTGTACGATGATACGCTAAAGAACGCGCAACCGTACCAAAATAAACTGCCCATCATCGACAAATTATTGAAGCAGTATCCAGAATATTCACGACTGTATAAATTTATGGCGGATCCGCCGACTACGACAATGCAAAGACTGAAGGCGTTGACGACTGGAAGTCTCCCGACGTTTATTGATGCTGGGTCGAATTTCGCAACAAACGAGATAAACGAAGATAACATTATTGATCAAGTTTGTTACAAAAAAAATAGTTTTGGAAATGTGCTCAATGAAATTTTTGTTTAAGCTCTTGAGGCATAATCTGAGTACTGTGTTGATTGGGGATGATACCTGGGATGGTTTGTATCCAAACAGGTTTTTACGGAAATATCCGTATCCGTCGTTTGATGTGTGGGACTTGGATACGGTGGATTATGGGGTTAATTCACACATTTATCCCGAACTGGAACAAAAGGATTGGGATTTTTTAATTGCGCATTATTTGGGGGTGGATCATTGTGGACATCGGTATGGACCCAATCATCCGGAAATGGAGCGAAAATTGACTGAAATGAATGGTGTGATAGAGTAAGCGCTTTCTAAGAATTTAATAATATAAAGTAATAACAAATTTATAGGGATATTGTTGATAAGCTTGACGATAATACAATTTTATTTGTCATTGGTGATCACGGAATGACTGAAACTGGTAATCATGGTGGGGACGCTGAGGATGAAATAACATCAGCTTTCTTTATGTACTCTAAACAATTATTGTCGTCGGTACAAAACCACTCCACAGTGGTGAGACAAATCAGCATTGTGCCTACTATGGCAGCCATATTTGGCGTGTCTGTGCCCTTTTCCAATCTAGGAACTATTATTCTGGATGCCCTTCCAGTCATGAACAACTCATACATCCAGGAATGGCAGTTATCCCTTTTTTACCTATGGGGAAACGTCCAACAAATGATGAATTACATTGAAGATTATGCGCAGACGTCTCCAGGCACGTTCAGCGATTCTGAGCTCAAAGGACTGCGAGCAAAATACGCGATCTTAAACAGCAAACTTTTTGCCGTTGATCATACAAATCTTGACGATTTTGCCGAAAGCGCGGTAAATTTTTTGACAAACTTGAGAGAAACGTGTGAGAAAGTATGGATTCAGTTTGATTCTTTTTCGATGACGCGTGGTCTCTTGTTTCTGTTTCTTTCGTTATTTTTTGTTTATATGATTACGGATGGTATCCCGAGTAATCGTATACCCGAGATTTTCATGAGTTCGTTTTTAACATGTTCTTACTCAGTGCTATTTTTAGCCACTTGTGTCTCAATCATTCTTTATCATTTTAATTTCGTTGATCATTTAATTTCAACTATATTTTTCTCAACGGGATTAGTATCTCAGATTATGTTAGTAATGTTGGTGATACAAAACTGGGAGTTGATTTCGTTGAATTGGTACGACCGCAGCAGACGAGAGAAAATTTTGAACCTAGTTTGTCGCTTAGTTTTAATATTTCATTTAGGCGGTCTGTTTTCTAACAGTTTCGTCGTTGAAGAATCATCAGTACTACTATTTCTCTTGGCTACTGTGATTTTAATTGGTAGTTTGAATGTATGTCAAAGCGAAGCGAAGAAAAAGAATATCAGAATTCGGTGGAAATTGTTGATGATCGCGTTTGGAATGTTAATTCTAGTGAGAATTTCTATGTACTTTTGGCGGTGTCGCGATCGACTTGAACAACCCTGGTGTTACGAAACATACAACACTTTCACTGCTAAAACTGAAACGACTAAACTCCAGTGGATAATTACGGTTATAACGTTGGCTTTGTTCGTTACCATCACGAAAGGATGGTTACGAAATTGCGGAAATCTCAACGGATACAAGTTTACGGTTATTTTGTTAAAGTACGCACCAACGGTTTTGGTGGTTTGTACAAGTGGTTATTGGGTGTTGAGCAGATTACCGATTGATGGAAGGAACAAATCATTTAGGCCATGGCAAGCTAATCTTTTAGCTTGGATTGTCTACGGCGTGTCGTCAGTAGGAATACTAACAATGATTATAAAACCTCTTTGCGTTTACATCTTACCAAGCAACGATGCTTCCAATGACACAGAAAGTAACGCCATCCCGCATTTGTTCCACAAAGTTAAGAGATTGTTCAATGAACCAAACAAGGAGGATATTCCAGTTCTGTGCGGTCTCGGTACTGCCTACAGTGCCGTTTTTGTCGCAATCGGAATATATTTAACCCACTTGTTTGCTCTTCTACACGGAGATGCAGCCGCTTCATCCACCGTTATTATGTTTCTAGCATCAGCATTTGTTCTCATAATCACATCAATAATAAGATTGGAGAAAGCCACAACCGTTGGTAAGATTTCATAGTTAGATACGTACTACATACAATACTTGACATAAATTGTTTCAGAACAATTGTTTGATATTCCAAACATGTCACTCTTAGTTTGGGTAATACTAGCGCAGTATTTCTTCTACGGCACGGGACATCAACCCTCCTTCCCGAATATAATCTGGGACGCAGCGTTTGTAGGTACCACAGGAGTATTTAAACACAACTTTATCCCCGGCTCTCTAATCATTATTAATACATTTTGTTCCCAAATACTAATGGGATTTTTAATGCCTCTGCATTTAATCGTTCCTTTCACCATTTCTGTTATGTTACCGTCAATTACTAGCAAAAATGTCCTGGAAAAAGAAAATTTGCGCGGAGAGGTGCTTTTGTACGAACGTAATGGTTTGATGCTTACTGTAGCGTTTACGACGTCTTGTAAATATATGATCTGTCACGCAATTAGGGTATGTTTTATTATTTCTGTTTGTATTATTTGTATTTGTACGTGTGTTGCAGGTGTTCGCTACCATGTTGGCGGCTACCATTCACTGCCGCCACATGATGATTTGGAAGATATTTGCCCCTAAGTTAATTTTTGAGTCAGTTGGAATGTTCGTCACTTTGGCAACGGTTAATATAAGTTATTTGGTATTGCTTAGAGTGAATTCGAAAATAGACGAATTTGTAACGTCTTTGAATAAGAGATATAAGTGATAGTGTCAGTTTGTTTTTTTTTTTTTTTTTGTAAATAATTTTCTACTTAGTTCTATTTATGTGTGTGTAAACATATTGTAATTAAATTAAAATTCAAAACTATTATTTTTGTTGTGAGTTTTAACGACGTGTGTTTCTTGTTGTCGAAATAAGTCTACGCATATTAAGAAAAACAAGGCAAAATGTAGCCCCGCCCACCCACCCTATCGCAATTGTGATGATTTTTTCACTCGTTGTCAGATCGAAGGGCGGGGCTTAATTGCAAGATCCGTATTTGTCTACAAGAATTTACCATTTTAAACATGTTTTATGTTTCTTGTTCTGGAAAGACGACTACGTATGTTAAGACAAAAGGCAAAATATAAGCCCCGCCCACCCACCCTATCTTTATTCTGATGATTTTTTTTATTCGTCGTAAGCCGAGGGGCGGAAATTAATTGCAAAATCTTTATTATTTCTCAACTAGAAATTATCGTGAAAGACATGTTTTTGAGTATCGTGTTATTCAAAGAATATTACGTATATTAAAAAAAAATTAAATAATAAATTCTAGAAATTGTACAAGTTTTAGAGTCCTGCGATTCCAGCCATTCTAGAGATTCTAAAGTTTATATAGATTTTAGAGTTTTTCGAGATTCTCGAGGATCTGGAGATTCTGGAGATACTAAAGATTGTGGACACTCTAAAAATTGTAAAAATTTTAAAAATTCCAAAGATTCCAAAAGTTCTAGGGAATCTAAGTATCCTAGAGACCCTAAAATTTCTTTAGATTCTGAAGATTTTAGCGATTCTAAAGATTCCAGACGTTTTAAAGATACTAGAAATTCCATAGGATTTACAGATTCAGGGTTTCCGGAGATTCCAAAGATTTGAGAAATTCAAAAAATTATACAGAATCTAGAAATTCTAGAAATTGTACAAGATGTAGAGCCTAGCGATTGCAGCCATTCTAGAGATTCTGGAAATACTGAAAGTTGTAGACACTCTAAAAATTGTGAAAATTCTAAAAATTCCGAAGATTTCAAAAGTTTTAGATTCTAAATATCCTAGAAACCCTAAAAATTCGTTACATTCTGAAGATTTAGAAATTCCAAAGTTTCCAGTCTCTAAAGATTCTAGAGATTCAAAATATTCTAGTAATTAAAAAAATTATACAGAATCTAGAAATTCCAGAAATTGTACAAGTTTTAGAGTCTCACCATTCTAGAAATTCTACAGGTTCGAAAAATTCGAAGGATTCTATAGATTCTAGAGTTTTTAGAGATTCTCGAGGATCTGGAGATTCTGGAGATACTAAAGATTGTTGACACTCTAAAAATTGTAAAAAATTTAAAAATTCCAAATGTTCTAGGTATTCTGAGTATTCTACAGACCCTAAAAATTCTTTAAATTCTGAAGATTTTAGAGATTCTAAAGATTCCAGATGTTCTAAAGATACTAGAAATTCCATAGGTTGTACAGATTCAGTGTTTCCAGAGATTCCAAAGATACTAGAAATTAAAAAAATTATACAGAAACTAGAAATTCTAGAAATTGTACAAGTTTTAGAGTCTAACAATTCTAGAAATTCTACAGGTTCGAAAAATTCGAAGGATTCTATAGATTCTAGAGTTTTTAGAGATTCTCGAGGATCTGGAGATTCTGGAGATCCTAAAGATTGTTGACACTCTAAAAACTGTAAACATTTTTAAAATTCCAAAAGTTCTAAGGATTCTGAGTATTCTAGAGACCCTAAAAATTCTTTAGATTCTGAAGATTTTAGAGATTCTAAAGATTCCAGATGTTCTAAAGATACTAGAAATTCCATAGGATTTACAGATTCAGTGTTTCCAGAGATTCCAAAGATTCTAGAAATTCAAAAAATTATACAGAAGCTAGAAATTCTAGAAATTGTACAAGTTATAGAGTCTAGCCATTCTAGAAATTATACAGGTTCGAAAAAAAAACGATTCTATATCCGTCGTTTGATATGTGGGATTTGGATACGGTGGATTATGGGGTTAATTCACACATTTATCGTGAACTGGAACAAAAGGATTGGGATTTTTTAATTGCGCATTATTTGGGGGTGGATCATTGTGGACATCGGTATGGACCCAATCATCCGGAAATGGAGCGAAAATTGACTGAACTGAATGGTGTGATAGAGTAAGCGCTTTCTAAGAATTTAATAATATAAAGTAATAACAAAGGGCAGTATACGATAAGGTTCCAAATTCGGCCTGGCATTAATTACGGTTATATCTACACCTAATGAAGCAACTTGGCTCCGATGATTAATTTAAACCAAAACATCTAAAATAAACTCAAATTCTACGATTTACATCAACAAAAAAGAAAAATATATCAAAAATTAATTGAAGTCTGTACCGGTTTCGTGGAACTCCAGCATTTAAATACTTGCATTTTCACAACATTTTCAAACATGGGACTGACTATGCTAAGATCATTTAGGACAACATATGACAAAAAATTAATAATCTAAAACCTCCCGTTTTGGAGATCCAGAAGGTGGGAACTCTGGAATAAGTCTTTCTGAAAGAAGTGACTGCATATTCGCAGCATGATTTATATTTGCACACATGTTGCTGAGACAAGTTGGAATAACACATGAAAAAATTGAGGATTAGCCCTCTCTTGTTTTTAGAGATCCAGAGGGTGGTAAATCTGGAATTTGTCTTCAGGTAAGGAATGACTGCATACTCGCAGCATCATAGATGTGTGCACACAAGTTGCTGAAACAATTTAGAATAACATATGAAAAAATTGAGGATTACCCCTCTCTTGTTTTATAGATCCAGAGGGTGGTAAACCTGGAATTGGTCTTTCTTTAAGAATGACTGCATACTCGTAGCATTGTAGAACTTTGCACACACGTTGTTGGGACAATTTGGAATAATATATTAAAAAATTGAGGATTAGCCCTCTCTTGTTTTGGAGATCCAGAGGGTGGTAAATCTTGAATTAGTCTCTTTTTAAGAATGACTGCATACTCGCAGCATCGTAAAACTTTGTACACACGTTGCTGAGACAAATTAGAATAACATATTAAAAAATTGAGGATTAGCCCTCTCTTGCTTTGGAGATCCAGAGCATTGTATATCTGGAGTTAGCCTTCTTGTAAGGCACGACTGCATAATCATAGCATCATAGAATTTTGCACACATGCTGATGGGACAATTTAGAATAACATATGAAAAAATTGAGGATTAGCCCTCTCTTGTTTTGGAGATCCAGAGGGTGGTAAATCTGGAATTAGTCTCACTTTACGAATGACTGCATACTCGCAGCATCGTACAACTTTGTACACACGTTGTTGAGACAATTTAGAATAACTTATTAAAAAATTGAGGATTAGCCCTTTCTTGTTTTGGAGATCCAGAGGATTGTATGTCTGGAATTTGTGTTCTTGTAAGGAATGACTGCATACTCGCAGCATCATAGATGTTTGCACACATGTTGCTGAAACAATTTAGAATAACATATTAAAAAATTGAGGATTAGCCCTCTCTTGTTTTGGAGATCCAGAGCATAGTATATCTGGAGTTGGCCTTCTTGTAAGGCACGACTGCATAATCGTAGCATCATAGAATTTTGCACACATGCTGAAGGGACAATTTAGAATAACATATGAAAAAATTGAGGATTAGCCCTCTCTTGTTTTGGAGATCCGGAGGGTGGTAAATCAGTAATTAGTCTCATTTTACGAATGACTGCATACTCGTAGAATCGTAGAACTTTGCACACACGTTGTTGAGACAATTTAGAATAACATATTAAAAAATTGAGGATTAGCCCTTTCTTGTTGTGGAGATAAAGTGGGTGGTAAATCTGGAATTTGTCTTCTTGTAAAGAATGACTGCATTATTGTAGCATCATAGAATTTTGCACACACGTTGCTGAGACAATTTAGAATAACATATTGAAAAATTGAGAGTTAGCCCTCTCTTATTTTGGAGATCCAGAGGGTGGTATATCTGGAATCAGTCTATTTTTAAGAATGACTGCATACTCGCAGCATCGTAAAACTTTGTACACACGTTGCTGACATAATTTAGAATAACATATTAAAAAATTGAGGATTAGCCCTCTCTTGTTTTGGAGATCCAGAGCATTGTATATCTGGAGTTAGTCTTCTTGTAAGGCACGACTGCATAATCGTAGCATCATAGAATTTTGCACATTTGCTCACGGGACAATTTAGAATAACATATGAAAAAATTGAGGATTAGCCCTCTCTTGTTTTGGAGATCCAGAGGGTGGTAAATCTGGAATTAGTCTCATTTTACGAATGACTGCATACTCGCAGCATCGTACAACTTTGTACACACGTTGTTGAGACAATTTAGAATAACTTATTAAAAAATTGAGGATTAGCCCTTTCTTGTTTTGGAGATCCAGAGGATTGTATGTCTGGAATTTGTGTTCTTGTAAGGAATGACTGCATACTCGCAGCATCATAGATGTTTGCACACATGTTGCTGAGACAATTTAGAATAACATATTGAAAAATTGAGGATTAGCCCTTCCTTGTTTTGGAGATCCAGAGGATTGTATATCTGGAATTTGTCTTCTTGTAAGGAATGACTGCATACTCGCAGAATCATAGATGTTTGCACACATGTTGCTGAGACAATTTAGAATAACATATGAAAAAATTGAGAATTAGCCCTCTCTTATTTTGGAGATCCAGAGGGTGGTAAATCTGGAATTCGTCTCTTTTTAAGAATGACTGCATACTCGCAGCATCGTAAAACTTCGTACACACGTTACTGAGACAATTTAGAATAACATATTAAAAAATTGAGGATTAGCCCTCTTTTGTTTTGGAGATCCAGAGCATTGTATATCTGGAGTTAGTCTTCTTGTAAGGCAGGACTGCATAATCGTAGCATCATATAATTTTGCACACATGCTGAAGGGACAATTTAGAATAACATATGAAAAAATTGAGGATTAGCCCTTTCTTGTTTTGGAGATCCAGAGGGTGGTAAATCTGGAATTAGTCTCATTTTACGAATGACTGCATACTCGCAGCATCGTACAACTTTGTACACACGTTGTTGAGACAATTTAGAATAACATATCAAAAAATTGAGGATTAGCCCTTTCTTGTTTTGGAGATCCAGAGGGTGGTAAATCTGGAATTAGTCTCTCTTTAAGAATGACTGCATACTCGCAGCATCGTAGTACTTTGCATACACGTTGTTGAGACAATTTAGAATAACATATTAAAAAATTGAGGATTAGCCCTTTCTTGTTTTGGAGATCCAGAGGATTGTATATCTGGAATTTGTCTTCTTGTAAGGAATGACTGCATACTCGCAGAATCATAGATGTTTGCACACATGTTGCTGGGACAATTTAGAATAACATATGAAAAAATTGAGAATTAGCCCTCTCTTATTTTGGAGATCCAGAGGGTGGTAAATCTGGAATTCGTCTCTTTTTATGAATGACTGCATACTCGCAGCATCGTAAAACTTTGTACACACGTTGCTGAGACAATTTAGAATAACATATTAAAAAATTGAGGATTAGCCCTCTCTTGTTTTGGAGATCCAGAGCATAGTATATCTGGAGTTAGTCTTCTTGTAAGGCACGACTGCATAATCGTAGCATCATAGAATTTTGCACACATGCTGAAGGGACAATTTAGAATAACATATGAAAAAATTGAGGATTAGCCCTCTCTTGTTTTGGAGATCCAGAGGGTGGTAAATCTGGAATTAGTCTCATTTTACGAATGACTGCATACTCGCAGCATCGTAGAACTTTGCACACACGTTGTTGAGACAATTTAGAATAACATATTAAAAAATTGAGGATTAGCCCTTTCTTGTTTTGGAGATCCAGAGGGTGATAAATCTGGAATTTGTCTTCTTGTAAAGAATTACTGCATTATTGTGGTATCATAGAATTTTGCACACACGTTACTGAGACAATTTAGAATAACATACTGAAAAATTGAGAATTAGCCCTCTTTTGTTTTGGAGATCCAGAGGGTGGTATATCTGGAATCAGTCTCTTTTTAAGAATGACTGCATACTCGCAGCATCGTAAAACTTTGTACACACGTTGCTGACATAATTTAGAATAACATATTAAAAAATTGAGGATTAGCCCTCTCTTGTTTTGGAGATCCAGAGCATAGTATATCTGGAGTTAGTCTTCTTGTAAGGCACGACTGCATAATCGTAGCATCATAGAATTTTGCACACATGCTGAAAGGACAATTTAGAATAACATATGAAAAAATTGAGGATTAGCCCTCTCTTGTTTTGGAGATCCAGAGGGTGGTAAATCTGGAATTAGTCTCATTTTACGAATGACTGCATACTCGCAGCATCGTAGAACTTTGCACACACGTTGTTGAGACAATTTAGAATAACATATTAAAAAATTGTGGATTAACCCTTTCTTGTTTTGGAGATCCAGAGGGTGATAAATCTGGAATTTGTCTTCTTGTAAAGAATGACTGCATTATTGTAGCATCATAGAATTTTGCACACACGTTGCTGAGACAATTTAGAATAACATACTGAAAAATTGAGAATTAGCCCTCTTTTGTTTTGGAGATCCAGAGGGTGGTATATCTGGAATCAGTCTCTTTTTAAGAATGACTGCATACTCGCAGCATCGTAAAACTTTGTACACACGTTGCTGACATAATTTAGAATAACATATTAAAAAATTGAGGATTAGCCCTCTCTTGTTTTGGAGATCCAGAGCATTGTATATCTGGAGTTAGTCTTCTTGTAAGGCACGACTGCATAATCGTAGCATCATAGAATTTTGCACACATGCTCACGGGACAATTTAGAATAACATATGAAAAAAATTGAGGATTAGCTCTCTCTTGTTTTGGAGATCCAGAGGGTGGTAAATCTGGAATTAGTCTCATTTTACGAATGACTGCATACTCGCAGCATCGTACAACTTTGTACACACGTTGTTGAGACAATTTAGAATAACTTATTAAAAAATTGAGGATTAGCCCTTTCTTGTTTTGGAGATCCAGAGGATTGTATATCTGGAATTTGTCTTCTTGTAAGGAATGACTGCATACTCGCAGAATCATAGATGTTTGCACACATGTTGCTGGGACAATTTAGAATAACATATGAGAAAATTGAGAATTAGCCCTC